CCATGCAAATGATATGCAAAGTCCATGCAAATCAGCACATTGGAGAGGGTGAGACTGGGGCAAGTAACCCATGGGAGCTCACCTACCCTCACCTTTCATCCACCTATTATCGGCTTGACAACCTGCAGCTTGTCTGGCTGGCCGGAGTGAGGCTCCCACGGGAGCACTCACCTTTCTGGAGCACTTTCTGTCTCAGCTGCCGCCTGTAATGGGCATCCTGCCAGTTGGTCAGTTGCTGGAGCACATACTTCATATCCAGGTGTGAAGGGCCCAAGCCGCTGGCCTCCAGGGCTGATGTCACCAGGTTCATTCGAGTGACCTCATCCAGCTCTGGCTCCACCTCCTCCCAGGCCTCAGTCTCCTCGGACACCAGCTCTCCTTCATCCATCAGCCCTTCCTCAGCTGCCACCTCCTCTGTGGCCCCCAGCTCCTCCTCGGGTACCAGCCCCTCTGCAGGCACGAAATCTTCCCCCGGCATCAACTCCTCCTCAGCCTCGAATCCCTGTTCCTGCTCTTGTTCCTCACTGTATCGATGAATGTATCTGGGCAAGGAGACAGCAAAGCCTTTCCGTCCTTCTCCAAGCCACCCCCAGCCAGAGAGCCCAGCCACTCTCTGCCCATTTCCATTTTCTTTCCTCTACTAAGGAGGAAAGTCCAATCACCAGGCCCACCCTTCCTCAAGTCTACACCTAGGCCCAGACAGTTTCTCCCAGTCTGTCCTAGCCAGGGAGAGGGGCACTGGGTACCAGCCCATGCCCCTGGTGGGAGGGAGGAAGAATGATCACCGATACTGTGTAGGCCCCACCCTCCCGTCTTTCCCCTACCCTGCTGCATGGAAGAGACCAGCAGGAACAATGCCCCCTCTGCCTCTCCTTCATTGTTTAACCTTCACAGCCCACTCACATCTAGTTACCATAGAAACAAATCCATTCTTGGGTAGTGCCTGTGGCTCAGTGAGTAGGGCACTGGCCCCATATACTGTGGGTGGCGGGTTCAAACCCCACCCAGGCCAAACTGCAACAAAAAAATAGCCGGGCGATGTGGTGGGTGCCTATAGTCCCAGCTACTTAGGAGGCTGAGGCAAGAGAATCGCTTAAGCCCAAGAGCTAGAGGTTGCTGTGAGCTGTGATGCCACAGGACTCTACTGAGGGTAACAAAGTGAAACTGTCTTAAAAAAAAAAAAAAGAAAAAGAAACAAACAAACAAATCCATTCTTCTAGTCAGGCTCAGATAGGTCAAGTGAGTTTCCCAAGCACACACAGCCAATAAAGGGACCAAGCTGGGAGCTGGTCCCACATGTTCCCAGCTCCTAGGCCAATGCCCATTTGTCTCTCTGCCCCGGCTAGGTGAAGAAGCAGCTTTGGTCCCGACTCAGAGGAGCCTGAGATCAGATAGCCACCTACGGAAAGAAAAGGGGACCACCTCTTCCCAGAACAACTCTCAGCCCAGCCAGCCCAGAGAACGGGGTTGCAGGGTGGCAGAACCAGCAGCAGGTGGCTGTGTGGCTGCTGAAAGGTGAGGACAGGTGATGGGGGTGCCACTGCCAGCTTACCTCAAGTTTGATGTCTCCCCTCTAGGCCTTCCATAATTCCTTCAGCAGAGAAAAGGACCTTCAGTGTCCTGAGACAGTGTCCTGAAACTGCAGAGTCCCCAGGGCCCAGTCATGCAAGCTCAGGGAGAAGTGATGGACCCAAGCTGCTCATTTCAACAGAGAGGAGCAACACATGGAACAGGCCAGGGAAGCCACCAAGGTGGGTGCTGGGACGCAGAGGAGGGGGCCCACAGAAGCAAGGGAGGTCAGAGCATGAGACAAAGCCCCTCCCCATCACAGGAAAGGCTGCTGTCTACCCAGCAGGTGAGGGTGAGTGTTCCAGGCAGGGGCCCAGCAACGCACCTCTGCGTGAAATACACAGGATCTGAGATAACCCTCCGCAAAGATGTTCTGAGCTCCTCAGCAAGAGTCTCCTGGAAACCAGTAAGTGCATGCTATAGTGGAGATGGGGGACATTACCAATGACCCCACTGAACCTTCACCCACAGTCCCAGGCACAGCAGGGGACTAAGGATACCAAACAGCCAGCTGGGCTGAGATATGGGCACACAGAGGTTAGAAGGCAGGCAGCCAAGGGAGGGTCCTCACCAGAGGCATGCTGTATGCGTAGTGGGTGATGGACCCAGTGGACACTGGGGGTTGCTGGCAGAGGGTCTTCGCCTCCTCCTGGGTCTCAATCAGCATGCCCCGACCATCCGAGTGCTTCTCCCGCAGCTCCTGCAGCTTTGAACCCACCCACAGGCTCTGTTGGGACCCAGGCCCACCCAGGCCCACCCAGCCCAGCTCTCCTGCCTACCATCTCTCTAGGCTAAGGGGCAAGAGGCTCCGCTCTAGACCCAAAGAGTGTCATGCAGGGAGCCTGGGCTCCACTCCACTCAGACCTCAACTGAACCACCACCCACTGGGCCTTGCCAGACATGGAAGGGGCACAAAGGGATGAGACCCAGTCCCTGCCAGTAAGCTGCTTGTCCTGTCTATAAAGTCATGCAGCTTCCAAGGCCCTTAGCTCCCCACTCTGGGCCAAGGGCAGGGCAGGAGCCCGGGGTAGCCTCGCCTCTTCTCCGAGCCTCACCTCTTCTTGGAGTTGCATCTGGATTTCTTTCTCTGAAGCCAGTTGCTGCTGCAACTTTTCAGTTTCAGCCCCATACTGGAAGGACACAAAACCAGAGAACCCCCAATGAGGCGGCCCCATCCAGGCACGCTCTTACTTCCCACAAGTCTCCTCAAGCACACCAGCAAGTTTTTGGTAGACCCTGAAGTAAGAAGTCACATGGAATGAGGGCAAATAGGGCAGGCAGTCACACAGCCATGGTCTTAGAAGATTCTGGGAGGCTTTGGTCCCTCCTTGGAACAAGTGGGCAGGACAGGGGCTCCCTGAGGACTTCCCCAACTTCTCCCCATGGGCCTGGTGGAGCCATGAGGTGGGGGCAGGATAAGGAGGCTTGAGTCCTGTGGGGCCACAACAGGAAGTTCCCACCCACACCCTGCCTCACCGACTGGCAGCGCCGCTGTAGCTTCACGACCTGGGCCTGAAGCTGGGTGACCTCCTTCTGCTGCCGCTCATAGTTTTCCAGCCTGAGTACTAACACCTCTGACAGCTCGGCCATCTGCTGGCTGGCCTCCGCTGGGGGCAGGGAAGGGGGAGGTCAGCACTGGCCCTCCCCAGATGCCTCCATCTGCCCCACTGTTGTGAACTGCCAGGCTCCACAGGACTTAGCCTTCCCCACTCAGGGAATCTTTTCAAGACACGTTCATTGACTACACACACTGAGCGGTGCTCCAGGCTTGTGGGGAGACAGATCACAATAGTGAATAATATGGACCATAATGCCAGTGTCAAGGGCATATGGGGGCAAGGGCCACAGCTGCAGTACCTAAGCCAGCCTTGCAAGGTCTCGGAAGGAATTCTGGAAGGAGCCGTCACTAACCTAAGAATACTAGGCAAGGCTCGGCGCCTATGCTCAGTGGTTAGGGCGCCGGCCCGTACACCAGGGCTGGCAAGTTTGAACCCAGACCTGCCAAACAACAATGACAACTGCAATAACAACAACAACAAAATAGCCCGTTATGGCAGGTCCCTGTAGTTCCAGTTACTTGGGAGGCTGAGGCAAGAGAATCACTTAAGCCCTAGAGTTGGAAGTTGCTGTGAGCTGTAACCCTACAGCACTCTACCTATCGAGGGCCACATAATGAGACTCTGTCTTTAAAAAAAAAAAAAAAAAGCCAGGCATCATGGCACATGCCTGTAGTCCCAGTTACCTGGGAGGCTGAGGCAAGAGAATCACTTAAGCCCAAGAGTTTGAGGTTGCTGTGAGCTGTGATGCCCCAGCACTCTACTGAAGGCAACATAGTGAAACTCTGTCTCAAAAAAAGAAAAGGAAAGGAAAAAAAACATTAGGCAAGCTAGGCTTGGTCAGGCAGACCAGGGAAGACAGAGGCCCAAGCTGAGTGTGACAGCACCCAGAGGCAACCCTCAAACCCCAGGGCAGTGCCTGGGGCGGTGGGCAGGGCCCAGATCACAAAGGCCTGGGAAGGGTTTAGGGTTTATCCTTTGACCAATGGGGGAAGGGGGGTGGAAGCAGAGAAGTGACATGGTCAGATCTTATTTTATTTTATTTTTTTAAAGATAGACTATCACTGTGTTGCTCAGGCTGGAGAGCAGTGGCCATTCACAGGTTCCATCCCACTACTGATCATCATTGATGTTTTGACCTGCTCCAATTCCTACCTGGGGCATATCACCCCTTCTTAGCCAAACTGGTGGTCCCCTGCTTCCTGAGAGGCCACCATATTGATGATAACCTTAGTGTGGCCACCTAATCAGCATAGCACACTATAGTCCAGAACTCCTGAGCTCAAAGGATCCTCTTGCCTCAGCCTCCCAAGCAGCTGGGACTACAAGTACATACATGACACTCATCCAGATTTGGGCTTGGGAGTGTTTTATTTGTTTTCTTTTGTGAGGCAAAGTCTCACTCTGTTGCCCAAGCTAGAGTGCCATGGTGTCAGCCTAGCTCACCACAACCTTAACTCCTGGGTTCAGGCAATCCTCATGCCTCAGCCTCCCAAGTATTTGGGACTACAACATCTACCACAATGCCCAGTTCAAGAGATCCCCCTGCCTCGGCTCTCATAGAATGCTAGGATTACAGGTGTAAGCCACCACTCCTAGCCCCAGATTTGGTTTTAGAAACTCATTTGTGTTGAGCATGCTGGCTCATACCTGTAATCCTAGTACTTTTTGGACACTGAGGCAAATGGATTGCTTGAGCTCAAGAGTTTGAGATGGGCTCGGCACCTGTGGCTCAAGTGGCTAAGGCACTAGCCACATACACCTAAGGTGGCGGGTTAGAATCCAGCCCTGGCCTGCCAAACAACAATGATGGCTGCAACCGAAAAAAAAAAAAAATAGCCAGGCATTGTGGCGGGTGCCTGTGGTCCCAGCAACTTGGGAGGCAGAGGCAGGAGACTCGCTTGAGCCCAGGAGTTGGAGGTTGCTGTGAGCTAT